CCCCCCCCCCCGGGGTTATTCTCTCCCCCAGCCACTATCCAGGGACCATTGGTAGCTATTCTAACCAGAGCCTCGAGGGCTGGCTTTCCCACTCCTCCTGTTTCTACCCACTGAGCCTGCAGCCCCAGATTATATGATGTGACAAAACTCCAATATTAGGGGTAGAAGCAGAAGCCACAAATGGAGCCTTGGGGAAGCGGGTGGATGTCAATAACCACAGGAGTCATCAGGCTGGGACACGTCTGCAGATTGCACGGTGGGAAATCACTCTGCCCATGGGGCTGCGGTCCCGATCACCAGCTATTTACTGCACCGAGGAAATGCCAGCGCAACGTCCTGCTCGGCGTGCCACCAGCTGGGGTCCTGCCCCACGCTGAGCAATGAAACTCGGAGCGGAGTCAGATGCTGTAGGATTGAAATAGGACCCCGGAGATCACTGATATTGCCACTGTTAGACAATTGCCACAAGTCTTGTTCAAAGTATATCATGTGGGATCCCCTCTGAAGCCTTTTTTTTAAAAAACTGGCGTCACCTTAACTATCCTCCATTCACCTGGGGCAGCAGCTGATTTCAATGATCGCTTACATACCAGTTAGTAGTCCTGCAATTTCACACCTGAGTTCCTTCAGAACTCTGGGGTGATACCATCTGGTCCTGGTGACTTCTTACTGTTTAGTTTATCATCCAGTCTGGCCAGTCCGTTGTGGACTATTCCAGCTTGATCACCCATTCAAGGAAATTAATTCTCAGAATGGGCCATAGAAGAAGCCCCAGCCAGAGCAATTTATGAGGAAACACAGACGAAAGCACAAGGACGTCTTTGGCCTTTTAAAACCAGCATTTTATTTACTGCCTCAAACACAGTCAATAACTGAGCAACTGTTGTCAACACACCTTTAACGAACGGTAACAGGGAGAACTTGGCTGCAGGCTCCTGGCCCTGTGGCCCCACTGGGCTCAGTGCGGTTGTGATGAACAGGCGGCGCATGACACCCACGTGGTGCCAGGATGGGGATAGATCTGCAGAGGCCCTGAGGCCAGTCTTTCTGCTGCTCCTGCCCCGCTTCTCAGTTCCCCCCGAACTTGGCTGGCTTCTCGCAGATATAAACCTCCCATTTGGCGCAGCTCTGCGTGCGGATGTCCCCCTTCTGCATGTACACGCAGCCTTCAGCTCCCGGGACCTGGAACCTGCCAAGCACAAGCCCCGTCTCACTGCCAGCCATGGGGCGGGGGCAGCCACAGGCTGGGGCGTTTAGCCCTTCTCAGCTGCACTGGTAAGAATGGTCTACAAAGTGCATTCACCGTAGTGCATAAATGAGAGGGGGTCAGATTGACAACCCTGGGTGAGTCTCCCCTGCCCGACATCTGGGTCATCACTGACACCTTTGCAAAGCGGGAGGAAAATCAAATCCGAATGCTGGTATTTAACACCTGCTTTGCCTGACACACAGGGCCAGGCACTGAAGGGTCAGGCCCATGTTGCCATTTTGCTAATGGTAGGTTCTTATGTGGCTCCCATCACCCTGTGCATCTCTGTGTCTAGCAGGGACAAGGTGAGTGAGGTAAAATCTTTTATTGGACCAACTTCTGTTGGTGAGAGAGACGAGCTTTCGAGCCACACAGAGCTCTTCTCCAGGTGTGGGAAAGGTACTCCCAGTGTCTCAGCTAAATGCAAGGTGGAGCAGATTGTTTAGCATAAGTAGTTAAAAAATATTTCAAGGGAGACAAGGTGGCCGAGCTACTATTTGGTATTAGACTTACTTCTGTTGGAGAGAGAGAGACAGGCTTTCGAAGCACAGACCTCTGGTGGCTCAAAGCTTGTCTCTCTCACCCACAGAAGTTGGTCCAATAAAAGCAATTACCTTCCCCTCCCTTGCTTCTCTAATATGCCGAGACCGACACAGCTACAACCACACTATATACATATTTCAAGGTTCAAGGTGACGTGGCCTTTTAACAACCCTCCAGTGCTAGGCAATAAAGAAAGGGAGGAAAAAAGGCAGCGGGAGGGGGGAGGGAGGGAGGGTTGTTAGTGAGCCATAGATTGTCTCTGTTCAGTCCATGATTTTTAGTGTCTAGCAAAGTTATGAATTTAAGTTCCCAGGCTCGTCCTTTGGAGGTGTTGTGCAGATTTCCTTTGAGACCGAGAGTCGGATATACAGTGATTGCTTTGTGCAAAGTGTTCGCCCACACGAATTAGGGTGTTTTTGCCCTTTCTCGTTTCCCTGTGTGCGTTCATGTGAGCGTGTAGTGATTGTCTGGTTTCACCCCCATAGTTATTACTGGGCGCGTAGTACACTAGATGAGGTACACCACATAGGACCCAGGGATCTTGAAAGGGGTGTCGTGAGGGGTGCTGATCAGCAATGGAGCTACGTCTGCAGGTTTTGCAGCTGTTGTTCTGACAGAGTCTGGTGCCACTTGGAGTCAGTGTGTCCTGGTCTGTGGGGCGCTTTCTTCTTATGATGGGCTTGGAGAGGCCTGGGGGGGGGGGGTTGTTAGAAGGCCAGCAGAAGTGCAAGTTTTCTCCCATCTCCCTGCAGGTGCGTGTTTTTCTCCCACTCCCCTCATTGCTGATGGGCCTCATCCCTAGGGGAGCTCAGTCTATGTGGCTCGTTCATTCCCTGGAGCCTCTGCCACCATAGCCATGAGCCAATGAAAGCCTCCTAGCCACCATAGCCATAGAGTAGGAGACTGAGCTCCATGGGTGGTGGCTTGTGAACAGCTATCCAGGAGGAGGTGGACTCTGCACAAAGCCACCTCCTGAATAGAGACAGCCTGGGGACCCCAATTATCTTAGAAGGGACCACAAGGGTCATCTAGTCTAATCCCCTGCCAAGATGCAGGATTTGTTGCATCTAAACCACCCAAGACAGCTGGCTATCCAGCCTCTTTTTGAAAACCTCCAGTGAAGGAGATTCCACGACTTCCCTAGGCGTCTGCTCCACTGTCCTACTGGTCTTACAGTTAGGAAGTTTTTCCTGAGATTTACCTCTAAATCTGGTATGCTGTGATACTTGTTACTTTACAGCCCAAAGTCCCAAAGTGGTCAGAGTTTCTCAGAAACTACTTATTTTCCACCTGGCCTTTTTTTTTTAATTTCCCCCTAAATAGTCAATCAAAACCAAAACCTTGTTACTGAAAAGTGGAAATTTTTACCAAAAACTTTTCAGTTTACATTGGAAAACTTTGAAAAAAATGAAAATTGTATATGAAAAGCCATTTGTCACCGGAAAAAATGTTCCGATGAAAAATGATTGGCTGGTTCTAACCATTATCCCCATTTATGGAGGAGCTACCCTGTTCAGAGCCAACATTGAACTGGATCAGTGCCCTTGGATGGGCACAGGCAGCGAGGAGAGACGTACAGCTGGAAGGAGAAAGGGGAGCCGTCAGCCCACGTCCAGTTCCCGATGTCGTTGTCGTAGTTCAGCCCTGTCCAGAAATTGAAGTGGAATTGCTGTCCCTGGCGCACGTACAAGCGCTTGGACATCTCATGTTTCAAGAACTCCTGCTCCGAACAGCAAAGGACAACAATCAATCCCCGAATAACTGGTTTTTCCCCTTTGAAGGCATCTGGGTGAGAACAGGGGCTGAGTCCCTCTGGAAATCAGGCCAACAATTTAATTGTCTAAACTATGGGTAGAGGTGTCTGATTCTGTAGGCCTCCGTGTTTGATAAATTGGCCTGTGACCCTCCCAGGGACACGTACTGAATCAATGGAACAGACCCCAGATTTCCTGGCTCCTAGTTCCTGACTTAACCCCCCAAAGTATCCTACCACTCATGCTGTTCCAAAACAAGACTTCCTCAGAGATTATTCTTGGCAAGGAGGAATAAAAGCAGGAACCAAGGGCCCAGGAACTGCTAAATCAGTAGCTCACCGCCATGAGAGGGGCCAGTGCTGGATGCTTCGCCATCAGGTGGGAAAAGACCCATCATGCATCTTGCCCACTGTGCAATACAGCAGCATAGAGGTCATTCCTCCATGACTCCTCACTTAGCTGATCTGTTTATGACCTGAAGCACAAGGATCAATGGCCCTGGTCCTCGTATCCTAGCTCACGTTGCTAAATGCTCTTCTCATTCAGGCAGAAATCCGATCCTTGCCTAAATCTCCCTAAATTATTTGCCTCAGTATCCTGCAGAAGTGAGTTCCATAGATAGTTATCTTGACTTTTTCACTTGCTTGCTAATTCACAAAGTTCAGTCATTTGCAATGGGTCTCCCAGTCACTAATGCTAACTAATAAGACCTAACTATTCTTTAAATGCACGTTGTGCTCTTGAAAGGATCTGCAATGACAGAAATAGAGCCTGGACTCAGAGGGCACGCTCCCTCCTCCTCGTGCTCTGCATGATGACTTCTATAGAGGAAGAGGTGTTAGCTCCCATAGGCCGTTCCATCCTTGGACTCTAACGAGGGTGACAACAAGGAGGCCAGTTATCACCTGCCCCACTGAGAACTCAATGGAAGGTGTCACTACTGACTTGGGTCTGGGCTGGAACTGTGCATTAGCGATGACAGGCCTCATGTCCCATTACACTGCCCTATAGCCAGTCAGTCCCCCACTTTGCTCCTCCCCCGAACGCCACAGATTCCAAGGCTTTGTCTACCCTGGCAAGTGAAAGACAAACTTTTGTCGTTCAGAGGTGTTTAAACCCCCCCCCCCGAAAGACAAGTTTTGTAGATGACAAGTGCCGGTGTGAACAGCACGTAGTCGGCAGGAGCACTCTCCTGGTGACAACACTAACGCTACTCATTGGGGGCGGAAGTTTTTTGTCTGCTAGAGAGCTCTCTCCTGCCGACAAACAGTGGCTACACTGAACGCCTTTTAGTGGCACAGTTGTAGCGGCACAGCCATGTCGCTAAAAGCTGCACAGTGGAAACGCTGGTCTAAGAAGCAGGGTCAGTGTGTATGTAATTGTCTTAGCAGCAACCAACATCGATACAGAAGAGAAGCAGAGGAGGCTCTGTACCAGCTCCTTCTTCGTGTCTATCTTCACCAGACTGGCCGACATCGCAGTACAAGCATCTAAGCTCTTATGCCAGGATTTCGCGGATGTGGAAAAGGAGTAACAGCTGGCTGCCTGCTGGTCCCAGTCCACCTCACACGTGCTGCAGTTGTCCTCTTGAAGAAAAGGGAAAACAGACAGACTTTCAGTCCTCGTTCTCTGAGATCATTTTGTTACCACAGCTCCATGCTGCTGGGTGTGAAGGATGATGGGAAATTCCCCTCGCTTAGAATTCTAAACCGCTGACTCATCCCTGCACACGTCTGCTCATTCTGAGAGCTCCGGCTGGTCCTACTCCCATTGACCATCAGCTCCTTTCTTCAAGCAACCAGTAGGATGCACAGTAAACTGGTACCATGAGTTGTCATCTCAGTGGGGAGGGAGGGTCAGGGAGTGAGGGACAGTTATAGCCCATCTCTGAGAACAGGAGTTATAGGAAGATGGAGACAAGAATTAGTAGGCACTGAGTTCCCATGGTGATGAACACAGTAAAAGGAAGACAGTTCAGATAAAGATCTGGAACAGAGAGACTAGATAAGGATCTAAGGATGGAAGGAAAGATAGAGAAGGATATAGGGAGAGAGTGAGAGCTTAGAGAAGGATCTAGGGAGGTGGGGAGGGATCAGAGATAGGTAGAATATAGGTAAAGGAGAGATTAGCTGAGGGTGTAAGGGGGGAGGGAGGAATTGGTGGATGGGTGGAGTCTTTTCCTCAGAGGCGCTAGCTGAGATTCCTTACCCTTGCCAGTTGTCAGCTGCTGCAGAGTGTCCGAGAGGATGATGTTTTCCATTTCAATGACCTCCAGCTCTTGCTCGGATTTCTGGGACAGCTGGTAAACTTTAAAGACACAAGAAAAATCATAAGATAACAGGGTGCCCAGAGCCAGTGGATTGCTCCAGCCTGGATCATCCTGGGGTGTTTTACAGCATGAGATGGACTGTGAGCATGTGTGGGTACAGTGCCACCTACTGACTGACAGGGTATGTGGACATGGGTCTCCTCTTGCTTGCACCAATTTTACACTAGTCAAATCCCACTGATATCAGAGGAGTCGTTCCTTATTCACCTCAGGGTGAGCGAGAGGGAAATCGGCACCATTGTTTTGAAACTGGCTTTTCTGCAGGAAATATCAGAGATGGGCGCTCCCTGCGTTTTATCAACAAATAACCACAATGCTTGGCACTTGCATGTCGTACATTTCAGATGGGGCTGACAAACGTTAACTCATTACATGACAGATGACAGAGACCTATTGTGACGGTGCCACCCATAAGGCTTTACAGAAATATGCGTATGGCTGTATATATATAACATAACTAGAATGTGTTTTATGCTACATATGCAACATAACATATCTCTGTAAAGGTTATGATCTACTGAATCTATTAATCCTATTTGTATGCATGTGTCATTTTTGTATTTGAAGTTATGAATATTGGCTGCATACTTGTTTGATTCTAAGTAGGCTGTAGTGAAGCAGTTGGTCAGCTTCCTGAGAAAAGACTGTTCTCAGTTAGTGCCCAATCAGGAAACACTTAAGCCAACAATGAACTTGGAGACACCAATCCACATCTGGGCTTTCCCAGGAATGTGGCTTGGCTGGTAAGGAACTCAGTCATGCATGGACATGTGACTTGCCCAGGTGACTCCAAAACTCCATTTTGTAGCTGGACTTTGCATAGGAGAGAGGAGGGGATCTCCACTCACAAAAGAAAGTTTATTTAAGCCCGTGGGAGACCCCTCCATTTTGGTCTTCAGCTGGCTAAAGAGAGAGCCTCTCCACCCGCAAAGATACCTGACAGAAACTGGAACCTAGGACAGTGACTGCAAAGGGTGTGAGTGATTGCAGGACCCAGACTAAAAGGAGATTAGTCTGTAAAAGGAAGTATTCTGGAACTGGTGAGGATCTTATCTGTATTCAGTTTCTTACCATATTAGACATAGATTTGCAGGTTCTATTTTATTTTACTTAGTAATTCACTTTGTTCTGTCTGTTACTACTTGGAACCACTTAAATCCTACTTTCTGTATTTAATAAAATCACGTTTTACTTATTAATTAACTCGGAGTATGTGTTAATACCTGGGTGGGCAAACAGCTGTGCATATCTCTCTATCAGTGTTATAGAGGGCGAACAATTTATGAATTTACCCTTCATAAGCTTTATACAGGGTAAAACGGATTTATTTGGGGTTTGGATCCCATTGGGAGTTGGGCATCTGAGAGTTAAAGGCAAGAACATGTCTGTAAGCTGCTTTCAGTTAAGCCTGCAGCTGTTAGGGGACGTGATTCAGACCTGGGTCTGGGTTTGCAGCAGCCTATTGGGTCTGGCTCAAACCAGGCAGGGCACTGAAGTCCTAAGCTGACAGGACAGGAAAACAGGGGCAGAAGTGGTCTTGACACATCAGGTGGCAGCTCCCAAGTGTGATCCAACTTGTCACACCTATTTGGTCACCGGATCCATTCCCCCTCCCAGTAACAGTACCGTCAACATTTACGTCGAGGATATTCTAGCAAATGTACTCAAGGCTGTACGTTTGTAGAGGGAGATCAGCAACATCCCACAACCCAGAGGTCACGGGGCAAATCCTTTTTATGCTTATCTGTACCTAAACAGGTATTTATACAGTCAGTGTCACCACAGGACCAGAGTGTCTCTGGGCACACACTAAGGGAAGAATCTCTCTCTAGTATCCACCCCCATGGTACCACAGCACCTACAGTTACCATTCACATGGCCATGGCAATAACCTTTGACTCCTGATGGTGAAGGAGGAGTTCAGAGTCAGCCTGTACAACCATGGTGGCACCTTTGGCCTTTGTCTATCCAGAGGGCCCTGATCTACCATGGACCTCACAATACACCAGCTAATGTCCCAGCTCTGATTCCCCATGCGAGGTCCTGAGTGTCTCTCCACCTGCACTTCATTGGGCCTATCACTGTAGCCTCTATACTGATTGAGGGAGTCATGATTATACATGTTCGAAGATGGATGTCACTCCACACCCTATTTATAGTCGCCTCTGCAAGTTGGATCAGTCTAGGTGGATGTTTTCCAGGGCAGAACCTTAGGTAGAGGTCTCACTCCAAGAGGCACATCTTGTACTGGGCATTAAAATGGCAGGACTCAGGCCTAAGCTGCTCCCCAATGCCAATGAGGATGTTCTGGTCCCTGACTTCCTTGAGTTTCACTCTACAGGACAATTAGAGGGCTGGGCCAAAGTGTCAATTCCTTAGCAGCCCTACCCCCCTCACCAACTAGAACACAGAGCTAGGACTGACTCCTGGCTTCTAGGTTCATGGACAGGGGACATCAGAGGCCATGGAGCTAGCCAGAGCCCGAGGGGCTCATTGGCATGAGGGGCTCATTGGCATGAGGGGTCACAGATGAGGTGATAGATGTTACTCCTGTGAGGACCCCACAAACTGCCAGCTCCACCTCTGTTACCAACTCAGTCCATCATTCATTGTCACCTGTAAATGTCCTGCAGGGGAGGACCATGAAGTGTACAGGTGACGGGCCTTGAGCCATGTCTTACAGGTAACCGTTAAATCCCCAGCCCATGGAAAGCAGCAGCTGGAAGGTTCAGTAAGAAAGATGGGGCTGAATGATCACTTTACATTACAGCTTAACAGGTGAAATGCAAAAAAGACAGTGGTCAAATATTTCTGTTCTCTATTTGGGAAAATTCAGATAATATAGTCTGATGATGATGATGAGTAAATACTTTGCATTCCAACACTAACCCAGGAGGATGTTAAATAGTCGCTACTCATGTCAGACATTTTAAAATTAGCTGGTATGGATTGCTTGGATCAAATGGGTTTAGAAGAGCAGGCTCTGGACCATTAACATTGATTCTCAATAAGTCTTGGAATACTGGGTAAGTTCCAGAGAACTGGAAGAAAATGAAAGTTGTGCCAATATTTAAAATGGGTAAATGGGATGATCCAGGTAATTATATAGCCCTGATGTCAATCCTGGTCATAATAAAAGAATGGCTGATGGAGGAGTGAATAGTTATGGATCAATGTCCTATCGGATAAAGCATAAGATGGGTGTTCGTTGGTGTCTGCTACAGACCAGCAAATCACATTAGGGAGAAGAGGATGACTGGATCCTCACATACCTAACTATAATATGTGTGTGTGGGGGGGAGCTGTGTGATCACTGGGGACTTCAATTTGAGTGACATATGCTGGAGGTCTCATGCTGCTAAAACGTCATTGGAATTTCTAAATCATAGAGATGACAATTTTCTAATTCAAAAAGTAGTTGCAGCCAATACAGGAGCATTCTGTATTTGTCTTGACAGATAAAGATGAACTGATCACAGAACTAAAAATTAGTGGTTGATTACACACAAGTGATCATGACTTGATCAAATTTATAACGTGCAAACAGAATAATGTCCAAACCCAGTAATATTGATACTTAGTGCTTTAAAAGGGCCAATTTCACAAAAATGAAAATAATTATCAGCCAAATCAGCTGGGAGGAAGAACTTAATAAAAAAATGTGAATTATAATAGGGAACTGTTTAAAAACACTTTACTACATGCCCAAAAATCACAATGCTGCAATCAGAAGGTCATGCTGGTTAAAACACCAGCCTTTTTAGCGGGGTTATGAAGGCAGCTATAAAAACCTCCAATACATAATAAGCAGAAGAAAAGGGAAGTCAACAATAATGAATATAAATCACAAATTAGGAACTGTAGAAAATTGATAAGGGAAGCAAAGGGGCATCAGGAGACATCAATGGTCAGCATAATTAAGGACAATAAGAACTGTTACAAATGTATTTGTAACAAAAAGTACCATAACAATGGGAATGGTCTATTACTAGACTGAAATGATAGAATTAATAATGCAGAAAAGGCAGAAGTGTTTAATAAATATTTCTGTTGTATATTTGGGAAAATATAGATGTACTCATATCAGATCGTGATGATGACACTCCTTTCATTCCAGTGGTAAATCATGAGGATGTTAAATAATAGCTACTAAAGACAGACATTTTTAAATCAACTGGCTGAAGAGCAGGCGGGACCATTTATGTTGATTTTCAATAATTCTTGGAACACAGGAGAAGTTCCCTAAGACTGTAAGAAAGCTAATGTTGTGCCAATATTTCAAAAGAGTAAACAGGATGGCCTGGGTAGTTATAGGCCTGTCAGTCTGACATCAATTCCAAGCAGCATAATGGAGCAGCTGATACGGGACCCCATTAATAAAGTATTAAAGGAGGGTAATATAATTAATGCCAATCACCATAGGTTTAGAGAAAACAGATCCTGTCAAATTAATTGGTATCTTTTTGTGGTGAGATTACAAGTTTGACTGATAAAGGTAACAGTGTTGATATAATATATTCAGTCTTTTGTAAGGCATTTGACTTGATATCACATGACATTTTAATTAAAAATTAGAATATAAATTTAACATAGGACACATTATATGGATTAAAAACTGGCTAAATTATAGGTCTCAGAATGTAACTGTAAACAGAGAATCATCATCAAGCAGGTGTGTTTCTAGTGAGTTCCCACAGGGACTGGTTCTTGGCCCTACGCTATTTAACATTTTCCTCAGTGACCTGGAAGAGAATGGAAAATCACCACTGATAAAATTTTCAGAAGGCAAAAAGACATCAGGGAGTGGTAAATGAATAAGAGGACAGGTCACTGATACAGAGCAATTTGGATCATGTGGTAAGCTGGACACAAGCAAACAATACGCGTTTTAATATTGCCAAATGTAAATGTATACACCTAAGAACACAGAAGCCCATATTTCCAGGATGGTGGACTTTATCCTGGGAAGCAGTGACCCTGATAAAGATTTCAGGGTCATGGTGGATAGTCAACTGAACATGAGCATCCAGTGGGACACTGTGACCAAAAGGGGCTAATGTGATTCTCAGATGTACAGTAACTCCTCACTTAAAGTCGTTCCGGTTAATGTTATTTCATTGTTACGTTGCTGATCAATTAGGGAACATGCTCGTTTAAAGTTTTATAAGGCTCCCTTCTAACGTTGTTTGGCAGCTGCCTGCTTTGTCCACTGCTTGCAGGAAGAACAGCCCGTTGGAGCTGGCTGGTGGGGGCTTGTAATCAGCTCCCCCTATCAGCTCCCTGCTCCCCTAAATTCCCTGTGCTGCAGCTGCCCAGCAGGCTAGCAATTGCCGGCATTGAGCTGTCCTTCCCCCACTGCCATGTGCTGCTCCTTCTCTCTGCCTTGGAGCTGCTCCCGGAGACTCCTGCTTGCTGTACGGGGGAGAGGGGGAAGTGGGGGGCTAATGTCAGGGTGTCCCCCTCCCCCGTGCTCCTGCACCCGGCTTACCCCATTTCCTTAGAGCAGGGGGTACACACAAAAGG